AGTAAGATAATAGCAGAATTTCTGCTTGATAATAGTAGTGATTTACACACCTATACGATTCTCACAGAGAGAATTCCAAGTAAAGACTTTTCAATTGCATAAATAATGTTCTCATAGGCAATTTTCTAACCGTATTGTTCCATGAGTCTTCATTATCTGCTTTAACAATTATAACACAATATTAATGATAGACTTGAGAATCAGAGGTGAAACCATCCCATTCGCAGATTGCTTGTTGGCGGTTCATTCACACCACACTGATGAAAACTCCGGCTTCCAGTATACCCAACCGAAGATTTAATTAACCGAAGTTTTTAACTATACTTGGGTAGGGTAAATATGATTGTTCTAAAACTATATCTCAGAAATGGCAAATGGGCTGTGTGGCTATTTCTAAGAAATTTTTTTTAACTACGGTACTACTTTTGGATACTTTGTAGCAGACGATTTCTAATTGGTAATTTTATTAAACTGTATAATACTCGCATAAACCACAGAAAGTACTCAAGAAGCATGTACAATCAAACTTTCTAATTATAAAATGTCAAAATAAACGGTTGTTAATTATACGATTATGACTGATTCGTTGGTGATCAATGGGTCGTGGCTTCGACACCTAATTTTTTTGAAACACGCTGAACTTTGTCAGCTATTTCTGGAAACCTGGATATTAAATGGGTGATAGGTATATATAAATTCCGCCTGGGTCAAGTACCACCGTCCACAGATGAAAAAGCCGCGAAGCTTAATTGAGATTCAGGTTCAATCTGGGGATCTAAGAATATCCAAAGCCAAAATAGATCGACAGCGAATCCAGTTGATGCTATAGGCTGGGATATATCACCTACCATCAAGTGAACTCCACGCCAGGTCTGTTCTTCTCTATCATTAAAAAAAATCGACTACATACTTGTAGTACATACATCAGACATATTAAGGTTTTAATAGTCGTAAAAGCCAGGTAGATGCTTTTTAGTAGTTTAACGACCTTCACGTATAATAATTACCTCGTTTCCTACGAAAATGAAAGATTATAGTGACCCAAATGTAATAAAAGCAACACGCAACGTTTTGCGTTCAGTCCACATTCGCGTGGTAAACATTTTAGAGATATAAGTTTGACAGGTGAATACTTTGAAATTGATTATTCGATCCTCCATTAAATTTAAAACGTTACCTTCTTGGATTTTATTCGGATAGACGAGAACAGACAACACATCTACAAAATGCGCTATCGACCTATTATTGTTTTTTGGATTTTCAAGAATCTAAAAAATGAAACCGAAACGCGATTACACTTCACAACATTTTCATTTGTGGATCGTGCTGGCGATCCGGCTGGAATTCCGATATTCCTCCCATTTAGTATCCGGATTTCTAAAGACGAAATCCAACACGTTTTAGAAAAATTATGCACTAATTAGAAACATCTTGGACCCTGCGGGGATCGAATCCACGACTGAGGTGTATCGGATTCCTAACGACTTATCAAAATTAAATAACACGTTACGTAACGTTAAAGTTGATCATATCTGGGGACTGAACTCACCGTCGAATGTATATTTAAGAAGCATATTTTAGTTATATACAACGAATAGGAAATCGCAGTCCGCATAACTAAAGCTGGGATTTCTTCCAATGCCTACTCCACTAGAGTAATAAGCTTACAACGCTTTTCAGTTTGCCGCATTCATGCCGCAGCAGCCTTTTTTCAATTATAAACTTCTTTCCTCCATTGTAGTTCTGCTTATTAAAAGGTAAACAAAAAGGTTTTATATCTGCAAAAATACATCGTCTATTCTCAACTCCAAGAAAAGTAGAAAGTTGAGTTATTTAAAATCTTTGGTTAATTATATATATAAATCGCGTAGCCTAAATGCAATTTTATGACTTTTTGTTTGATTTACAAGAGAACAGTGAGCGAAAATTGTTAACATAATTCTTACACAAATAATAGTAAAATTAATTTTCGTTTAAATTAATTGTGTATTTTTATTTTCGTCTTTATGGAAAATCATGTATTTTGTTACTAGGCCACTCTGCCTCTAGAAGCCTCATATGATATCTTATCTAATCTAGCACGAAGTTCTATTACCTATGCATTCGTGTACCTGAAAATCTAAGAAGACTTAGAAGGGTTTTATTTTATAATATTTAAACTTTATATTGAAACGTAAGTAAGCGATGTACTGAGGTAGTTATAGAGGATACTTTGCACTAAAAACAGATTAAAAAAAAATAAAACGCCAATTATAGTAATGGTAAACGGGTGCTAAAAGTCGATAAGTCAAAAATTCGTCTTTATTAAAAACGAGTATAGAAGTTCATAAGTACGGTTTGTTTGTTTGACCAATACTTTATTCTAGAATGTTTAACATTTATCGTTTATAAATTGTACGCTATAACTGTTTACTACAATTAATGTCAACGTGTTTCCTCTAAAACATTAAAAGGGTTTAACCTAATTAATTGGTTTACACAAGGCTATATAGCCAATAATACTTAGTTTATCGCGTAAATACAGGAAAAATAACGGAAATATATAATATTTGTACTTTAAACCTATATATGTATAATAACAAAAACCTTTTCAACCACGAAATGATGTTGATTTTGCAGTTATGAAAAGTAGCAATAAAATACAAGGTAAATAAATTAGTCAGTAAGAAGGAAAATGATATAATTTGGCAAAATTGTGTCTGATAATTACCACTCATATATCTTTATAATATAAACAACCGTTTAGGATAATTCAAATAACTAACTTAGCAACACGAACAGATGTGTTTTGCGCATCCCAAAATAATTCCTATTTCCTATCATTATTCCGAACAAATGGCCCGTCAGCTGTTTCGGTACACCTGCGCTTGCGCAACTGTCACCGTCTGTCGTTACTATAGAAACGAATATGATACGTAAACATAACATTCGGTTTTGAAAAACACGCAAATTGTTTGTTAACTATTTACACAGAATAAGAAGAGAGACGAGTTTGTTTGTTTGTTAGAAAGCGCTAATTTCAGGAACTATTGGTTCGAATTAAAAAAAATTTTGTGTTGGTTAGAGCATTTATATTTTTATTTTCCTACCTCGTAACGTTCATAGAAACAGTACATAAAGTGGGGTACCGTTCGTTTTTGTGTTACCCCAAATGCTGTTTATTTGAATGCCCTAAAAGCGAGTGCAGCCGCCGGCGCGGCCCTGTATTCTGAAAAGCTCATCTCATCTCCATTTTTCATACAAACGTTTCGCGTTTTATTGAGCAAGCGGAGCTGGGAACGTTTCTCAAAGCCTAGCCCATTCAAATGCTCCCGTAGGAGACAAAACTGTGTCGACACGTCTCAAACACTCTCAAATGAACTTCGTGCGAGTTTTAGAAGCACGATAAGTACTTCGGAAATCCAAGCGTCTCAACATTTTAAATGTTCGCTATTTTATTGGAAGTTTGGATAGAGGAAGTGGTTGGATGTCTTACTGTCTACAGAAGTTTTTTGTTACACTGCTATTGAGTACTATTTAAAATCGCATGTGATATAATTCAGTGCGTGTCTTTGTAATGGAGAAGTGAAAAAACAAATCAAAGAAATATAGAGAAGAATGGTGTTAATTGCCATGCTACGCGTTCAGTTGCTCTTGCGAGTTTTTCCTAAAAGTTAGACATATACTGTTACGGATATAATTTGAGATCATTTACAAAATAGCCTTTCTCTAATACATATGTATTGGTTTCTTGAATTGTTTCCGAATCCGAAATTTTTATCACATATCCCTCTATTTCTTCGCCCCTATTCGTCACAGCGTGATGTTTTATAGCCGAAAGCCTTCCTCGATATTTTTTTTTTAATTCCAACTAGCGTGTGCGTTCAAACAAGTAACTTTTTAATATTAGTATAGATTAAGGTGCGACCGCGATAACACTACAATAATTCAAATAGTAATCAATAGAAATTAAGTTCACGGCATTAGTGTGACAAGGTCGGAACCTTCGTTGCGCATGTATTAGGTCTATCTATCTAATCCTAATATAACATTTCGTTGACTATGTGACATCACCTTTACTTACCTACTTTAAAAATAACTTGATAATCAATCTATATTTTGTGGTCCTCTCTGAAGTGTAAACAACTAGCATAGCTGTCTGTAGTTTACGCGAGTAGTACACAATTAAATAAAACAATTTAACGGTTTAAAACGAGATATATTTAATTAAACTTGTTTGAAAATTATTTTTAACTACGGCCCGACGTTTTGGATGCTTTGTAGCAGCCGTGCTCGCGTAGTCTCCACGTCTAAATATATCGCGTTTTAAACTGTTAGTGTTTTATTTTAAAGCATAAATGTATATTTTATTTGAACACTTTATTATTTTCACGTGATAATTAGATTAAAAAATCGATAATACGGACGAGTCTCCGAACCGGCTTCAACATGGTGCTGCTGCTATAAACAACATCCGTTGCTTAGTTAGTTAAAGCAGCAGCAATTTTAGAGACAAATGTACACACAATGTCTACGGCATTCATATAAGGCCAAAATTAGGATCCTAAGTCCACCATGAAGCATAAACAACAATTTCAATTAAACACATACTGGTTAAATTTTAAACATAGTAGATACTTCAATTATTATTTAGATTTTAAAACAGGCATTGTTTTGTTTCAAATTAAACGTTACAAAACTCCTTAATTCAAGCTTCAAGGTTCTACTATCTCTCGCTTTAAAAGTTAAATTATTTGTTATCTGTACTAAATACATTTTAACGCCGAATCGAGCATACATTTGAATCCAAGTTCGCTTATTAACCACTCGAAAACATTAAGTTTCAGTCAATAATATAGAAAACAACACCAAAAATTATTTGCATAATCAGTCATTGATAAGATTGGCGGGGATTCAAGGCTGTACGTTTTTACGCGTTATTTACAATATAATTTCAACCTTTCTTTATTACCGATTTTTAATTCATATGAAAAATATTAAAGTCTTAAAATGTAAGTAAAATGCTAATTAACCAACGTACAGTATCCGACGGTGAAGCCGGCGTCGAATCCTTGGAACCGGATCCTCGTCTGTGCAAGAGATCAGCGATCAGACCCCAAGAAGTACGTCGAGGCGCTGAATACATCGTCACAACACAACAGTCACTTGACACATCGAACAAACCGGATTATCGCAGTACCTATGCGACTGTACATGCTGAAACTAGCGAGGAAAATGCCATGAAAACTGGCAAACGCACGCTGATAGTATTGGCAGCAGGATAAAAATAATAAGATAACAAATACGTAGCGAAGAGTCTGCCAATAAACACGTCTGAGTTGAAAGCGAATTATTGAAAATTTGTAAGATATTTCAGTTTCGGAATCTGAGTACAATTAAATTCAGTACGATAATGTTTAAGGAAATTCCATCTTAATTCCTGTCTGTAGTTTATGCGAGTAGTACACATTTAAATAAAACACTGTAATGGTTTAAAACGCGCTACATATTAGTTGAACTTATTTGAAAATTAATTTAACTGGGAGTCTCCCCGTGACTACGGCTGCTGCAACGTCGGGCCGCAGTTAAAATAATGTTCAAATAAGTTTAAAGCGTTCAATCATCAGATAAGTCAAATCAGTACTAGTAGTAAGACTAGAGATACTTCTCGTTTCCGTAACTTTTAGCCTTGTGCAAACATTTTAAATGAAATCAATCTTCCGTTCATGTAGGTAAGTGTTACTTATCAACGTTAATACAATATAAGTAACAAAGACTAAATGTATATAACATTATGTATTTAAAAATATTTTTATTATTGAGGCGGACAGATAAGCGTGGGGTCCTCTTGATAGTAGGTGACATACCCCAGAAATAACATTTATTCAAGATGCCCTGTCTGTCGACCTATTTCGGCTTTGGATTTTCGCAGATACAAGAGTGTCTTGTAATGCAGTAAAAATCTCAATAAATTCGGAAGATTATACTTAATTAATATCGAAAAAATAAATACAATGATAAATAAGAAAGATGGCATTTTAATGAAACACTTGCAATAAAAATCACCCACAAGCGCGTATTGCAATTCAGTAAATGTAAACAGATTGACATTAAAGATGATTAAGGTCATTTCGTGTTAAATTAAACTCGGTGGTCATTTAATTTAATTTAATAAAAGAAAACCAATTTGCTCGTGTCATTTAGTGAAAAAAAAATATTATTGCATGAAATTTCAATTAAGAAAGAATGTATTCGTAAATTGCACAGATAATATATTTTTTAACCATATTCCAAATTTGAAATCTTGCAATAATGTCTTCTTTATAAACAAAGGATTATAGCTAACTCCCGTTTTCCCCAGTGGGGAACAGGACGAACATATTTCTGTGTCTGGTTCACACATCGATTTTATTTAATTTACATACACGGGATTTGATCCCAGGATCATCTTTAATGTCATGCTGCGCAACATATATCTACTAGTTACGCTTTTTAAAAAGGATTTATACGACCGAAAATTAAATAACTACTTACACCAAAAATTACTAGGACAAGAGGTAAAATATTTATGCTAAGTAATAAAGCGCCTAATATAGGTATATATTTGTAATTCTTTTGTTTTTGTATTTTAATCTCACGCAGATAATTAGAAAACAATAAATAAATTGTATGTTTCTCCATAGTGTCTTCCGTATTTTTTTAACAAACTAATTTAATATACTAATATACGACATAACTCAAATTGTTACTAACCAATTTAAAACTCATTTTATTTAAGAATGGATCGTTTGATTAATTATTATAAAGCATATTTAAACAATTTACACCGCAAATTTTCACGATCGCGATAAAACATTTGCAAGCAAAAATTATACGAGACGGAACAACAAGAGCGCTGAATAAAACATTCCCGGGTAAGTTATACAGTTTCATTATTTCATCCCAAATTATGGTCCCCGCGGAGTTCACTGAGAATCGAGATAGATCAGAACTCAGGACTGAGGTAGCCTGTTGAATATTTTATTAGCGACATTCGCGAATGCTCCTTTTAATCAATTCAGTACTGGCAATTATTTTTAATTGGCTTTTTACCTTTACGGTAAATTGACATATAGTATTACTCTAAAGGTTTTAAAAGGTATATGAACTAAAATCATTACTTAGGATGTACAAACTTATTGACCGAAACGAATTACCATTAATTAGAGTAAAAATCGTGTAACACATAAAATTAACACTAATGACATTTAAACATAACTACAATTAAATAAACTTACTTATTACATTATGTATTGAGATTCTATATATTAAGAGCGTTAAGAACGAAGCGGTGCTAAAGAATTAAGTTGAGAAACGTTCTAATCAAAGCAACAGTACAAGATATACGTATATATATGAAGTATTGTTTGTGTTTAAAGCAAGTATTAGATACACAATTAAATAAACCTTTTTAACGGTTTAAAACACGAAATATATTAATTAACTTATTGTTAAGTACTGTTTCTATTTACGCGAGTAGTAGGTATTGATATTAGTAAAACCAATTTGTAAATTATTTTAACTACGGCCTAACGTTTCGAATGCCTTGCAGCAGCCACGGTCACGGTCACCCGTAACTAATATATATCGCGTTTTAAACCGTTAAAGTGTTTTATTTCGATATTTTTAAGTTATTTGAACTACGGCCGATGCGGTTGCTTTACGACCATGGCTGCTGGATAGCATCCGAAACGTAATTAAAATAAATTAAAAACAAGACTAATATATTTCGCACTTTAATCCGTTAAGTGTTTTATATGAAAAGTATATAAAATATTTCCCAGCACTTAACCTAAATTTGTCATTTCAAGCGAGCTCTTACGAAAGCCAAAGCTTTGTGCTTCACATTATTTGGTTAACAAAGTCGTAGTTGCATCACAAAGGCGTGAAGTTGAGCGATTGAAGGTTCCCTGGTACGATAATTATGCCAAGTCGCACTGAAGGGTTGGAATAGAAGTCATTATTATAGAAAGATGAAATTATAATGATTATAAATTCAATCAGTAGAGATCCCTTCTCATAGTTAGTTATCTAGGCAAGATGGATATTATTAAAAAAAATCGAAAATAAATTGAAAAAATTTTCGACTCGGGCAGGACTTGAACCGGCATCGTCAGCGTTCCGTGCTGTTGCTCTACCAATTGAGCTACAGAGTCCTACACCTCATCGTCGATTTTTTTCAACTTATTGATACATGCACCTCTCGCGCAATGTAATTTCAACCCTAACACTTGCGTATTAAGTCGATTCGAAAATTTTTTCAAATTTATTTTTGATTTTTAAATTATATAGTGCCTTCATGTGCAATAACATGTGAAAAATATTAATATTTTCAAGATGGATATTGCGTATTGAAGTGAAGATGTAATGTGGACAAATGTATACAAGTAAAATAAAATAATTAAATTTGTTACTAGATTCAATTTATATAAACTCCGCTCATAGTTTCATAACAGAAATTACAAAGCAGCTCTCTGTATTATATCTTGAGCAATACGACAGACACGAAGCTTTTTCATTACAAACTGTTAATAAACATGATTTATTCTTTCGAGGCGCTCTCATTGGCACTGACAACTATTGCAAATTGTTTTTGTTATGATTTCTACTGCATATCCGTGATAATATGGCACTCATAAATCTTGTGCTTTCTCCTTATTTATGCCAACAGTTAATCACTGGTATATCTTTGAAATTAGTAAAAAAAATCTAGGATAATCAGCTCTCTATTTTTGTAAGTCCTAAGATAACCGCCATCTCTCGGGGAGCACCTTAAAACTTAGGTCATTACCTAAGCTTACAACAGCTGCATGGAACAGCATGGTGGGTTTTTTAATCAACCCTGTAGTGCAGTGAGATATTTTTTTTATTATAATAGAACAGACAAGAATTCAGACAGGAAATCCAGCATATTTTGCTTTTGGAAATATTATTTGGTGGCAAACAACAATGTTTTACGCGTTGAAACATTAACTGTTGTATACGTAAGTCGAAACTATACACATAATGTACAAATAGCGCTTCCTTATACATTATATTATGTCAATGAGATTTCAAACTTTACTATTCTTTTGTTCACATATATACTATAAGCTATATGAAATATCAACAATAAGAATAACGATAAACATAATCAACAATATCGTAAACGAATTGAGACGGGTCAACGACCCTTATCATTGAAATTATTTTTGTTCGGTGAACGATCGTTATACGTAACCGATTTATTATGATAATTAAAATAAATGTAATAATTGTAGCTGCCTAAGAGGAAATTCTTAAGAAATATATAGGTCAAAAAAGCAATGATGTCAACAATGATAAATATTTTAAACTTATAACATTTCCACATTATAAACACATTTATTTTTTATGATAGAGAAGGACAGACAATGAAATGCGCCGTCAATCTATTTTTGGCTCTGATAATTCGAAAATCTACAGATTAAAACGATTAAACTTCAGGGCTTTTTCATCTGTGGACGGTGGTTCGTGACGCGGTGGAAAATTTGATAGTCCTACATCCCATTTAATATCCAGATTATACCAGATTTCCAACGTGGTCCAGAAAAATTGTAAATTAATTAGAAACGTGTTGGCCCAATGAAAATCGAACCCACGACCCGTTGTTTACTGCATACATTGCTATCATTACAGCAACAAGCCCCTCGAAATATTAAATAACTTTTTATCCCTTCGAATAAAATCTGCATTACGCTGTTTACGAATCCACGGATTCATAAATATGAATCGACACCCTTTAAGGATACATATCGTAGGAAATAGGGCGTTTATGTTGGGGCCAAGGATATAAATATTTGCAGCGTGGTCATGCCGAAAGAAGTGTGATGTTTTGAAAGTGACAGGAGCTTATTAGACTCCAGAGGGTGAAATGACTAACGCCTCATACATATTAAAGGGTTTTCTTGAGACTCTATATTTTAATAAACAAAATTATCCTTTAGCTTCTAGAATAGTACCTATTTATTCATGTGATCGAGAACTTAAATTCAAATTGGTTCATTTGATCAAAAATAGCTATATTATAATCTAACAAAACAGTAGGTAATGAAAACAATTACAGTATAAATATAAACATATGTATTCCTAATATCCAACGCCAAAATAGGCCGACAGCGTAACTTGTTTAGATGTTGCATGGCTGGGGTTTTTTACCTACCATAAAGCGAATGCTAGTGTGTCCTTCTCTATTATAAAAAAGAATATTTAAATACATAATGTAAGT